GAAATCGACTTGGTTTAAGAATAGTAGATCATATACTAATTACTATTTAATTAATACGCCTTTTAAAATCGTAGATTCGAATAGGGTTTTATAAGATCATTTTTGTAGTGCTATAATTGTTAAATATCCATAACATAATCGATGAATGTTTGTATTTTCTAAAAATAATAATAAGTTTTAATTCGTGTAAACTTCTTGATTAAACAAAGACTAGGAAAACAAAATACTTTACGGTATAGAGCTGTTGGCGCCATAGTTAATCCTGCTCTCGAGGTATAATACCGTGTTTTTGCTTACGAAATTGTAATCTTCCGGATTAATCAATGAAACCTCAATTGAAGAAATAAAGGGTACATCTCCTTCTTGAGTTTTGACCAAACACACAGTTGTTACCTTCTTTTCTGTCACAAACATTACTTCATGGAAAATTGGTTCGTCTCCAAATGAAGTATTGGCTACGGTGACTGTTATGTTTGAATTGATCACGAGATCAAATGTCGGAGGCTTCGAGAGATTATCGTAGTTTCCATAGTAAAAACCTGCACGGACGAGGTACTTTCCCGACTCTTCCAACGGAAGAATGTAACAATTTACAGTCCCGTCCGGGAAAGATCGTAGGTTGTACATTGCTCGTAGTGACAGAATTTTGTCACCCTCGACGACCTTATTCTCCCCTTTCTTTGAAAAATCCGAATCTGTTTCCCAAGAAATTGAATTGACTGGATCTCTATAACGTGCATCTACTCCACAGTCGATGTTCAAATAGAAATCTGAAATTACAAACAAGAAAAATTTTCACTTCCACAGAGAAACTAAACAGTTTTATTAAAAACATTAGAGAAAATAAGTTTATGAAACTTATTGAAATGTAAAAATGTTTATTATTAACTGCTTACCGGAAGCTCTTGAGCTGTGAATTGAGACGAATATCAATGGCAGAATCAGGACCCATCTGTGCATCGTGTAGCAAGATTAATCAAAGCTTTAGTTCAGTTCAAAAACAAAAAAAAAAAATGAAATTCTGAAATCAAAATTCAATTTAAAAAGGAAAAAAGATTTCTCGAAATTGTAATGTTGCTGCTCTTGCCGGCTGGTTAAGATCAGAAGATGACTTGATTAGTATATATAAGAATATGTAATATACAACAAGAATCAGAGAACAAAAACCTTGTTTATATCGAATGATTTCTTCTGCTGCAAATAGAAAAGGTCAAAATCTTGATTCAAATAGGCCAGCAACAAGAACCCTAAGTAGTATTCATATATATATATATATATATGAATACTACTTAGGGTTCTTGTTGCTGGTATATATATTTGTGTATTAGAACTATGTGGGTCACTTGAGAGTTCTAAATGTTAAAATACAGCTCAAATATAAATGTTGGAATTGCCTTCAAACCAAGCCTTTTCGTCCCTTTTGATTTTTTTACATAAAAAGTTTATATACGTTTAATACATGAATTCATGCATACACACTAATTATAATATAATTTACTAATAAAAACACGTAAAAATAAATAACTCAATTTAATTTATAATTTTTATAAAAAACATTAAACTAAAATATAGAAATTGTTTTTATTATCTATTTATTATTTTTTACCAACCGCTGAACTTATAATTGTCAAATTTTGCACTTTTTATTTATTTTTAGTTTTTTTTTTTACTCAAATTCATACATTCGTAGTTTATCTATTATTGAACGCTTAGTCGTATATAATCTGTCAATATTTATTTAATTAATTTAAAATTTTCATATTTTATTAATTATAATACACTTATACATCAACGATAACATAACTTCTTAATTACTAACGAGAATATATAATAACATAATTTCTCGACAAAAAACACGTAGAAATGCACAATTTAATACTCGAACTCGCACTTTTATTAAAAAAAAAAGTAAAAATACCCATCATTTAATTAATAAATAATTAATCTCTTTACATTAATTAAAACTTAACAATTTTTTTTTTTTCTCTAAAGAAAAAGAATTGAAAGAATTTAATGAATTAATAGTTAAATATTTACTTGGACTTTATTACAAAAATTTAAAAGGTTAACATTTTACAAAGCAAAGAACTTTGTGTGTATACACACACACACACACACATACACACACAACATGAAGTTCTTAATTATACACAAATTTATACATAACATCAAATAATACCCTTCAAGAAAATATACAGAAAAAGATTAAACACGCCCAAGAAATTAAAGTACGACGAAGGGTTATTAGCCTTGGAAGCCTCCACGTTAACCTCAACAATCGGAGCTGAACGTTGCAGGACTGTAAAAACTTCCATGGCGTTTATAATCGCCGGCCTATCAGTATCATTAGTGGGAGATACCGTCACGTTTGCCGTCCCCATTACGTTGACGCCGTAAGCCGACGCCATCGTTAGATTGTAAACAACTTCCGTCTCATTCCTCTCTTGTCCGTCAACATAGACAACGATCCTCCTTGTTTCGTTATTCCACCATTCTTTTGTTTCCAAGAAATAGAAGACGAAGTAGGCAGATTGCTGGGTTTGCTGGCGTAAATTGATGGGCAAGACGATGGATTGGGACAGATTTTGTGCTTCGATTCCGGAGACCATCACGTCGAGAGGCGGATCGTTTTCTCCGGATGGTGTGAATGTGAAATCGAGACCGGGACGAGATATGTAGCCGGACACTTCTTCTGGGGTCCAAAGGCGATTGTATGGTTCGTCAAACTCATTGAAGCGATTCCTATTAAATTTAAATCATCAACGTAAATTTATTAAGCACGGATTTAACGAAAATCGAACTAAATATTATGAAAAAAAAAATTTAAGAGATAAAATAACTTTCGTTAGAAGAATAAAACAAAAAAAAACTAATAGAAAATTTCAATTTTAATTTTTATTAATATCGTAAAAAATCTTCAATTATATGTGTACATGAAC